GAGTTCTGACAGCCACAAACACTTCGTTGCAGCCAGTGGGTCCCCGCAAGCCCCCAGGAGCACTGCTGCTCCTCACATGGCATCTTTTCCTTGCACTGGACCCCAGTCTGAACTGGGCACCACCTCACTCCAGCAGGAAGCATCCCCACTGTGTGGATCCAGAGCACGACACACGCAGCTCATCTGCTTTGCTTTCCCACCTGCTAGAATACGTTGAGCTGTTATACGTGGACCCCAGATCCATCATCCCACCCTCAGCAGCTGTTACATTCACTCTGGCATTTACAGCAGATGTTACAGAAGGTAAAAAACAACTGAGACTTCCAAAACTGGGGCTGGGGGAGGAGAGGCAGAGCCCAACCCCTTGCACCATGGGCTGCAGATGCAGCACCAGCACGTGCAGCAAAGAGCCACGTCACGGCACAGAGCAGCTGAAAGACATTTCAAGTGTTACCACAGCAGCATTAAAAAGCTGTCAGCTTCCTGTGAGTCAAGCAGCAGAGGCTGAAATTCGGTGTTTAAAGGATTATTACATATAAGTGACTTAAATTATACATCCTGGTTGCTGGAACTGACACCATCTAAAACACACCATCTATTCCCTGTTTCCGCTGACACTGATTATTATCCATGAAAAGATGAACATTTTCCTACAGGCACTCAAGTACCAAACTAGGGATTTATAAATTGGAGATAATTAACAGGTTTTTAAATTACAAATAGGCTAAAAAATTTACATTCCATCGGCCACCTGAGAACACTTAAAGAGTAAAAAAATGGACATTTTATACCTGAAAAACTGCTTGTTCTCTATCAAGGCTGCTAATAGAAGCACAAGAAGCTTGGAGCTATTTTACAGTGGATTCACAATTACACAGTTGTTGAAGTGGTGGATGACCTGAGACAGACTCAGGCCCTGTTGTTAATTCTCTCACACAGACCTCTGGAAGCCACATCTCTATTAAGCTGACAGAAATAAATTGCCTGTTTCTCCTTTATAAACAAATATGCAGAGTGACTTGCAAGATGTTACCTTTCGGATTTCGAAGACAAGAAGCTGTAAAATTTTCTTGGCTAGCAATGATGGTTCTACCAGGAGCAAGAAAGGGAGGCACAAGAGATCACCCAGGGCCATGAAAACTGGGAGAGGCCCTTCCCCATCCACCCAGAGCAGCCACAGGCCCTCCCAGAGGCTGGTTTGGTCAGCCCCAAACCCTGATAGACCAGCAGCTCCTTCTTGCAACTGGGGCCACCCTGTGATTCTGTGGTCAGATACTCCAACCCAGAGCATCTGCACATTTTTGTCTTTGTTGTGGACATAAACTGTGCTGGTGGTGTGAGCAGCAGACACCAGGTCTGTAAGCTTCAAAGCAAACCCTTTGAGACCATTTAGCCTCCTAAAACAGTTCGGGAAGAAGAGTTTTGCTCTTCATTCAGCCTCCAGAACCAGGAGAAACCCATGAAGAGTCAGCTGGATTTTGCATCTGAGAACCCAGAGCTTAGAGTGCTCTGCAAGTCACCAACCCCTTTTCATTGGTAGGGAAACTGAGGCACAAGTCAGTCTCTCTTGGGCAGCCCTGGGGCAAGCCAGCTGTGCCAGCCACCAAGGTCACAGTCCTCTCCTTAGCCATGTGCCATTTGGCAGAAACGTGCTACACTGGATCAGCTTCTTCAGCCTGAAACATGGAGCTCCTGCACACTTCTTGGGCTTTAACTGTCTCAAGGGACAATATTGAAAGGTATCAGGACTGGTTGCTTTAGTCACCTTGACGTGCAAAGCTTTGATGCAGCACAAAACATCACCCTGGACCAAAATTAACCCTAGCAAGAGATGGTGGAAGTGCTTCAGCATCGAGGGGTGATGGCTGGAGCTGTGTCAGGGGGAGTCAAGCCTGGATGTTGCAGCTTTACCTCCATTTTACATCCCAGACAATTGTGGCATGGAAAAGAAAACTTGCTCCTGTGCTGAGGTGGTGAGAACAAAGTCTCTCAACATCCTTCCTGCTTTACAGTGTCATGCAGGACACCTGACCCTCCACCCCAGTGACAAGTGCACATGAAGGGATTAATACCTGCTGATATGAGAGCAGGTGATGGAGTTGTGGCATCTCAGTTACTTCAGAAGAGATCCTGTTAACATTATTTCCTCTCCTTCCCTACAATTTGCAAGACAGATAAAGCAGCATCGATCTCACTGCCTGGCAGAAATACCAGAGACACCATTTAAGCATAAAGATCTCAGGGAAGGAATCTCCAAGGAATCTTTTCATTCAAACAAGGACCCTTACAAAATGCTAGGAAAAAAAGAGGTGTTGGGGGAAGTCTAATCCTCTATCTTCACTCTCAGCTCCATTTGCCCTGCATCAGACTCCAAACAGAAGAGGCTCTGAGATACTCAGAGAGCTGTGGCTGCGAGCAGAAGGCAGAGGGAGAGGAGAGACAATGCAAACAGCAGCAAATACAAACAGTGACTCATGACACCCAGCAAATAAACAGCACGGTAACAGTTCTTGCAATTATAATTCAAACCCAAATAAACAAGAATGACAGTCCAGCAGAGCGAAAGGGAGGATGAGAGTGATGGGAGGGGGGTGTGATGACTCCATCACCTTCACATCTATTGCTCACATAACATCCCCAATGAGCAGCTCCAGAAAGAATTAGAGGGAGGGAAGGAAAACTGTATGGGGCAGCAGCAATTTCTTGTGATCTACATCTGTGCTTGAAGTTTTCATGACTGCACTGAGAGCAGAATTTATATCCCAAGGCCATGCAATAGCCTACAACACTGCTACTGGTTTTGACCCCCGGCCCCAGAAAGCACCTCTAGCAAGAGAAATAAAACGTTTGATTTGGTGGGTTAATGAGTAAAAATAGGCCTTGTGTGGTGGGTGGATGGACAGAAGGCAACTGAGTGGGGGGCAGAAATCACACCCTCCACAAGAAGCATCACTTGGGCCACTCTGCAAATCCTCCAGCAAAGCAGATTGACAATTCCTATTGCTATTGCTTCATCACCCTCCTAGTGAGAAACTCTCCCCCAGTCCGTGCCTTCAATATTCTTTTTCAGGCAAGGCAAGGTACTTTCCCTCAGCAGGTACTCAAAGCTGATCATAATCCTTTCCACAGAAATCTTCTGTGCATCAGCAAACATATTGCTTGGACTTCCAAATACATTTCCTCCAGCTTTCCCTCTCCAGCCTCACTTGCTGGGCCTGTGCAGCCCATCTCCAGAGGTGCAAGCACTGCCCTCATGTCCCTCAGCGCAGGGGGAAGCAATGACCAGCCTGGTCTCAGGCACCAGGCTTCTGCAACAGTGACTCAGAGAGGGATTTGCCTCCTTTCCTCCAACCTTGGGACACTGTTGGTGTGTTGGAGCTGGGGATCCACAACAGCCCCCATCACCACGTAGCACCCTGCACCGCCTCTGCTGTTCTTCCACTTGGTCATTTGGCTTCTGCTGTCACCAGAGTCACTGCTGCCACCACCTTCCTCTTCCCTAAACCTCATCATGGGGGTGCCTGGTGGGTTTTGCTGTTCACCATGATGATCTGAAATTCTGTTCCTAAGCCTCGGTCACATCAGCAGCCCCTCTTGTGAACTAACTTGTTATCCCATTCAAGCAGGAAGCTGGGCAGATTTGCCTTTTGTTGGTTTTTTCTTAATAAGTCAGATTTTCCTTCAGACCCCACCTGCCTTCTCCCCTCTGCTGTCCTCAAATTGCCCTGGAACTTTTTTTAGGAATTGGGGATGGATTCTCTAATACTGCATTCTCTAGGGCTTCCCTTCACCTCCCAATGGAGGTTTGGAGTGGGCTTTGTTCTGCCTCCCCACACCCCTGGGGAACACCAACAGCAATCACCAGCTTCACACCTTGCTGAGACCAGGTTTTCCTCAAGTCATCTAGAGTAATTTCCCCAAGCTCAGCTGACACGAGCAGTGGGTTATCTATCTCTATTCACTATCTATCTCTATTCACATACCCTTACCCCCTCTATTTGCAAAAGCCACACATCTGTGGATGTAATTATTAGTACAGGTTTGTGAGGACTGAGGCAGAGGAAGCACAGAGCACGTCCACCTCTTGTGGCCCCTCATCTCTCCAGCCTTGCTCTGCTCCTCTTTGACTTTTCCACTTTCCTTTGCAAGAAATTCCCTCAATTTGGAAGCCTTCAAATAAATACTTTTTTTCCACTAGAGGGCACAAAGACAATTTCTCCTCAGTGAAAACTGATGTTAGAAGGATAAATAAAAAAATTAATCAATTATTAGCATCTCACCAAAAGTATCTCCAACTCCAAGAAATCAACACTTAAGAAATTGCAATGTAGTTCTAACTCTCCAGGTACTGTAACACCACCATCTCTCATATACAGAGATTGAAAACCTAAAAATCCCAAAGTGACACTACTCTAACAAGGTCTCCTACACAACACTAAGCACTTTATCCAGCAATTTCTATGGTGCCCACAACTTCTCATTAGGCAGAGACCACAGTATTAAAACAGCACTGGAGGGGGGAAAAAACAAACCATAACCTGGTATTTTCTAAGTTGAACTTACACAAATTCAGCTTCAAGTCACTGAACTTTTTACCCTTTTGTTCCCTAGATCAAAAGAAGTTTTTTACCAGCAAAGATCTTCTGTTTGCAGATACTTTTAGATGACAAGTCACCTCCTGACCCATCTTGGGTAAATTACAGAGCTTTCAGCCTTTAAGGCTCTTCCACACAAGCCAGCTTTTCAGCTTTTAAGCTTGTCTTGTAAACTACTTACAGGTTTAATCTATAACCATGACACCTTAGCCAGTTCCTCACCAAGGAACAGTGCTGGTTTGCTGTAAGAAACATGGAAACTCAACGGGAAAGCAACTCAGTCAAACATCTGGTGACACCAACCCATGAGCAAGAGTAAGTTCAGAGCACTACGGACCTTGAGAGCATCGTGGCCCTCAGACCTCTCCAACCTGACCAGGAGCTTCAGGTTGAGCAAGAACCTACCTTGCTGACTTCTGTGGTCCTGACAAGCTGCTCTTCCAGGGCCCAGGCTGAGGAGCTGCAGGAGCGCCGGGCAGCGCACCAGTGCACGGGCGCCCACCCGCACGCCCACCCTGCCCTCCATGGCCCGCTGTCCCTCCACACAACCTCCCTCCTCCAGCCTGAAGGTTTGCCTTCTGCTGCCCGTGGGTTTCCACTGACTGGAAGCTTGCATGGAGCCAGCCCAGAGTTTTGCTAATGGCCCAGGAGACAATAGCCACACGCAGGTGCTTCCTCCCATTTAACGTGTTTACTTGTGCAGCTCAACAACGTGACGCTGCTGTGAATTACATCTGCAGGCTGCTTTACAGAGTTCAAAAGGTAGCACGTAACAAAAGGAACACCAAAATACTGCTTATTAAATGAAATACTGCAGATTAAGTGCTTCTTCTTTATTTCCCCCCCCCCTTTTAAAGTCTGCTTCCTTTACCAGGGCCAAGCAAGAGGGTTTTTCCAACCACAAAAGCAAAGCGGTTTCAAATGGGAAATGACACGTACTACAGCAAAACAAAACAACACAACCCAAAAAAGACTGATTTATCAGATTTACCCACTGCTTAGGCTGCAGCTTCTTGTGGCCTGGAAAGGACAACACTGTCACTGCTAGTGAAGGCTGAACTCAACACCCTTATATCTGCACGTGCTCCAAGAAGGATCAGAAAGATCCAGCAAGAAGGTTGGGTATAGCTAAGCCACAACACAGAGCTAAGGAAAACATCAGGCTGATAGAGGAACAAAGGCCTTTTTGTTTTATGAGATAAAGCAACCAATTCAGCTGTATTCCACAGGCTTAAGACTGAAAAAGAGAATAAATATTTTTAAAAAGCAGCATCTGATTCTAATTGTGATGCCCTAAGCTCAGAGTACATGAATCAAGATGTTTGCTGTGGGCACCAGGCACTCAAATCCATGGTTGGACCTGTACATAGGAAGTATCAGATGTGCTGAACATCTTGCAGTTCCCTCTACAGCCAGTGAAGGATCAAAGATACTCGGTACTTAAGAGTAAAATAATAACCATTGTCAAGACACTTTGCCTGGTACCTAAATAAACTCAGAAACCCAACTTTACAGACACTGACTTGTGAAAATCTCAGCCCTTCCCACAGCAGCAACCCCTTCACTGTGCCAGAAGTTTCAAATAAAATATCCTCGTATTCAAAACCCTGCAACTTAAGGCACTACTTCCTTCTCACATGGAACTACACCACAAAATGCTGAAATCAACAGCACACACGTGCTCATTCAACCCCATTCTCTTAATGACAAAACCAATGGAATGGAGTCCTTCTGTCTGAGCACCAGGTTGCTCTGCCCACTGTCCCCAGTCACCACTCTTTGTGATGTCCTTATGTTGATTTGTCTTCTCAGTGGAAACAGCCACCATCTCCTCTGAGATCTGGTAGGATGATTGCTTGGAGAAGATCAGATCCTAACTCCTTCCATGCTTTATCACCAGGGAACCTTGCAATGGCAATTAAAATCCTCCTCTCCATTTCTCCTGTCACAGACACAAGCCAGAAAGCAAGTGGCAAGTCCTGCTTTCATCAATGCAAGTGACACTCTAATGCAATGGCTTAAAATCAGCAGGTTAATAATTTCAGAGATGCTTTCACACAGCTCAGCGATCTTGTGTCCAGCTTACTGGACTTCTCCTTGAAGTAACAGTGGAACACAGTCAGGTGTGTGCCCAAAAACAGCTGCAGCACCTCCAGAACTCAACTGCTGACAAACAATTTGGACCAAACCTGCCTTCCCTGTGCTGAAACAGCCTGTCAGCACCCTCCACATACATTCTCCTCATTTTAAACAGCATTAGCAAACAGCAGATGGGCTTCATAACCTCTTCAACCTTCTTGCCCCTTCTGCAAACAGATCTCTAGCAGGCAAAGGCTAAATGAGCATCTCCAGTGGTCTCTAAGCTACCCACAGAAACAAAGACAAGGCATCATATCTGTCGTGTTTGCAGGCAGGATCTCCATCCCAGGGAACCTGCTGGGCAGTCTCTGCCCCAAATGGCTCAGCATCACCACATGCAACCCCTCCTGCACTGCTCTACCCCCTCTAGGAGCCCTGCAGAGCAGGACCAGGGACCTTGTGAGGTGGCAGACATGAAGACAGCAACCCTGTGTCTCTTTTCTTGTTGTTTTTAGTCTTTAGTCTTTCTGGACACAAGCAACCCCTGTGTTTTATCGTTATGGCTTTCACTCTGCTGCTGCACAGAGGTCCTGAAGGGCCATAAGATGCCACTGCTGTAGAGAAGATCCCACTGGAAAACAATTTAAAGCACCGTAAATCGCAGGATCAGAGAGTAAACAGGTGAAAGCAACTTCATTTACCAAGCAGAGGCTTATGGATGCTCAGATTTATCGCATAGTGCCTTGGGCAGGTGGGAGGGCAGCGAGAGGAGAGAACTATTTCTGGCTGTAAAATGTCTTAAATGCCAAAACCCAAAGAAGTCTTTACAAGACCTGTTACCTGTACTTGCTCCGAGGCTGCCCAGGGCCCAGCATCCTCCAGGACAGCAATACAAGCCCAGCTTGGTCCCACCAGGGAGGGCAGAGGGCTGCAGGAAAGCTGCCCCTTCCCCAGGCTGCTGCTGGACACCACATGCAGGGGTGCAAAGCATTCCAGAGTCAGTGGGATAACAGCATTGGCTGGGACAAATGGGGAAGAGCACTAGGAATGTTTTTTCCCAAAGCTTTTAACAACTATAAGACAACACCTCTGTAGGGAA